CCGCCCCCCCCCCGCTGCCCCGGCCGGGCGTCGGTGCAAATCCTCTCGGACTCACCCCTCTCCCCCCACCCTCGACCCCCTCCTTGTCGCTGCCCTTCTGCAGATCTCCGCGGGTCCCCTAGCGAAGATGCCTCGCCCGGGCAGAAACACTTACAGTGATCAGAAGCCTCCCTACTCCTACATCTCGCTGACCGCCATGGCGATCCAGAGCTCCCCGGAGAAGATGCTGCCCCTCAGCGAGATCTACAAGTTCATCATGGACCGCTTCCCCTACTACCGGGAGAACACGCAGCGCTGGCAGAACTCCCTCCGCCACAACCTCTCCTTCAACGACTGCTTCATCAAGATCCCGCGCCGCCCCGACCAGCCGGGCAAGGGCAGCTTCTGGGCGCTGCACCCCAGCTGCGGGGACATGTTCGAGAACGGCAGCTTCCTGCGCCGCCGCAAGCGCTTCAAGGTGGTCAAGTCGGACCACCTGGCCCCCAGCAAGCCGGCGGACGCGGCGCAGTACCTGCAGCAGCAGGCGAAGCTGCGGCTCAGCGCCCTGGCGGCCACCGGCACCCACCTGCCCCAGATGTCCACGTACAACCTCGGCGTGTCCCAGCCCTCCAGCTTCAAGCACCCCTTCGCCATCGAGAACATCATCGCCAGAGAGTACAAGATGCCCGGGGGCCTCGCCTTTTCCACGATGCAGCCCATGCCGGCCGCCTACCCCCTCCCCAACCAGTTGACTACGGTGGGCAGCTCCATTGGCACGGGCTGGCCCCACATGTACAGCTCCGGCATGATCGACACCGCCACCCCCATCTCCATGGCCAGCAGCGAGTACGGCGCCTACGGCGTGCCCATTAAGCCGCTCTGCCATGGGGGGCAGACTTTGCCGGCCATCCCCGTCCCCATCAAGCCTACCCCCGCCGCGGTGCCGGCCCTGCCCGCCCTGCCCGCGCCCATCCCCACCATCCTCTCGAACTCGCCGCCCTCCCTCAGCCCCACGTCCTCGCAGACGGCCACCAGCCAAAGCAGCCCGACGGCGCCTACGGCGTGCCCATTAAGCCGCTCTGCCATGGGGGGCAGACTTTGCCGGCCATCCCCGTCCCCATCAAGCCTACCCCCGCCGCGGTGCCGGCCCTGCCCGCCCTGCCCGCGCCCATCCCCACCATCCTCTCGAACTCGCCGCCCTCCCTCAGCCCCACGTCCTCGCAGACGGCCACCAGCCAAAGCAGCCCGGCCACCCCCAGCGAGACTCTCACCAGCCCGGCGCCCGCCCTGCACTCCGTGGCGGTGCACTGACCCGGGCCGCCCGCACGGACTCCGCCGTTCCCTTTCTCCCAAAGTTTCCTCGGAGCTCCCCTCCCTCCCCTTCTCTCCCTCCTTCCGCTTCTTTCCTCCCTCCTCTCTTCTCTTTTCCTCGAAAGCAGAGGCGACAGCTCCCCGCGGGAGAGTGAGCTTTGCCGTTCGCGTGAGCTGCCCTTTCTGCTTCGCCCCTCCAGCCGTGCCCTCCGC